CAGCAGCTAGGCTCCCCATTACAGGACTCTGGTGACCGTCTCCTCCCATTCTTGATTCTGTGAAAGCCTAGCCTCATGCCTGTGCACCCAGCCTGGGGCTGGTCTATCTGCCAGTTGTGGGAAGTTACTGGGTCCAAGTTCAGTAGGCATTTCTCTCTAGTCTCCCACCCTTGAACAGCATGCTGGCCACTGCTCATTTTAGTGCTTGTAGCAAGGCCTCTTAAAAGAGCTTCACCTCTGTATACCACTGGCACTGAGCTATCCAACAGACTGTGGACACCAGAAAGCTTTTTAACTCTTTATGTGGAAATATGTAGCAAGATATTGGGCGGCATTTGTAGTTGTGCTTTTTTGTAGGATCTGCCAGCCTGTAAATAGTGATACAGAGACTTATTAAACCAATCCAAGTAAAAAAAAAAATCTTCACATTTAGAAAAGGATTATTTCACAGCAACTCTATGCTTTTGTTTCCACAGAAAATGAAAGGCTGTGAATTCATTGAAGGTTGATTGAGATCGTATTTGATTGGGGGAGACTCCCTGAAAATCCTGGCTATAGACATAAGGAAATAAATCTAAAACAAAACAAAACCAAAAAACTACATGACTGGTGACATATATTTTACCTGCTCAAACATAAAACAAAAAAAAGTCATCTTTGGCTGGCTTGTGTACAATGCACAGTCCACATTTATGTTAATGCAGATATGTATGCTATCTTTGAAAGTCTGTGAGTTTTCAGACCAAGGGGACCAAATGCCAATGCAAACAGGTAGCCTAGGTGAACCAACTTCAGAGTGTCTCTGTTGCAGTTTCCTCTGAGTTCTACATCCTGAAGAGCTTCAAGGCTGCTTGCTGAGATGGCCTACCTCACAACAGAGTACTCCAGCTAGACTTCAGGTAAGCCCTGCACTTTCCCACCACACTGAGACTAAACAAAAGCTAGCTCTCCCAGGACTTGACCATTATCTTAATTTTTTTAAGAATCTTCTAAAAATGTTACCACTCCCAGATAACAGGAAGCAATCTAGAGAACACAATGCCCTCATTGCCAAGAGGTGATGTGAATAGTGTTTAGTCATTCAGTGGATTATGGACATTTGTCATCATTTTGGGAGGTTAGTTACAAGTTCTTATTGGTAATGGCCAGGAAAAAAGGAGATTCAATTCAGGGAGCTCATTCTGAAAAGAAAAAACAAGTGGAAGTAGACATGATAAGATGAAAGAGTAGAGTATTGAATCTACTTATAAAGTAAGACAGCAACTACTAGTCTTAAATATTTTAGATTGGTATGTATTTATGTACATTGCCACAAATTTAAAGTTATTTTTTGTTAAAACATACTGTACATATGTTTCCACTCTTGTTTATGTGGTTTACCCATGCAGCACATTTAACACTGTAATGTAAATTTCTAGTCCTTGAAACTTATTGCTACAAATTATTTAGGATAATAGAGAAGTGCAGGTCAGTAGTTAGTCACCTATAACAACCTTATAGTCACTTTAAGTATGCTTTCAAGGTCAAACAGAGATATTTTAGATGGAAATGTGGTCTTTAAACACTTCAGAAGTTTACAAAATATGGCATTTAAGATGCTTTAATAACATAAGACTTTTCATGTCAATGGGTCACATCTATTCCTAGCAGCACCAATTTACTTCAGAGAAGATGATGGGCATCAAAGGACTTCCATACGGAGTTTGCTTCCTTGGTGGCAAAAGTTGGCCACCTAGCCAAAAAAACAAAACAAAACAAAAAAACAAACAAAAAAACTGTCCTTGCCTCAACTGCTGACAGTATGTTGTCCAAACTGGATAAGCATGACACAAAAGAAAGCAACTACCAAAGTTTCCCAAGACAGAGCAGAGGAGTCCTTCAAAAATTCCTGTTTCACAGAAAAGTCTGTCAGATATTCCAGGCCAATAGGCTGAAGATGGTTGCCCCAACATCGATCACAGAGAAAACTTGAGTGGCTGTCCAGGCATACATCTGTTTCTATCAATTCTATAGTTTTGGAAATTGTTTGCTCTACACTTCCTGTTTACCGAGATAATTGTATATCCTTCTTGAGTCTTTGATCTGTAGTTATAGTTACAGCTTTCCTTAGTTATGATAGCAAGTTATGTACAGGGCTTGGGGCTCATCAAGGTAGAATAAATAGATTATTTTCTCCAAAGATGCCAAACACAAATGGAATGGACATTATGAATATAATTCTTACCTTGTAATTGTTCTTACTGTTTATGGTTTTATTGTGATAGAATTAAAAAGCCTTTCCTTTTTATTCAGACAAAAATGTTGTGGAATATTCCTTTAAACTGTGTGAAGATGTGTCACTATAATTGGTTTAATAAAAAGCTAAATGCCAATAGCTAAGCAGGAGATATAGCAGGGACTTCTGGACAGAGAGAGTTCTGGGAAGAAGAAGACAGAGTCTCCAGCCAGATGGAAAGAAAGCAGGATGTGCATACAGAGTAGGGTAACCAAGCCACACCTTTAAAAACTTAGATTAAAAGATATGGGTGTTGTGGAGTAATGTTTTTGTACACTGTGCAGATGCCACTCAGATTGGTTTAATAAAAAGATGAATGGCCAATAGCTAGGCAGGATTTCTAGGCACAGAGGATGCTGGGAGAAGGGAGGAGTCACCAGCCAGATGCAGAACAAGCAGCATGGGCATTACAAAGTTAACCAAGCCACATAAAAGAATGTAGACTAAAAGACATGGGTTGATTTGAGTTTTAAGAGCTAAAAGCAAGCCTAAGCAATTGGATGAACTTTCATAATTAATAAGAAAGCTCCATGTGGTTATCTGGGAACTAGCAAGCAGTACAGAAAAGACTCACTACTATAATTGGATTAATTTAAGTTATAAGAACTATTGAGACAAACATAAGCTATATGTAAAGCTTTCATAATCAAAAATTAGTCTCCATGTCATTATTTGTGAGTGGTCCTTATCAGAAAGTTCATCTACAGGTCACTCACTTGTTCTTCTGATTGGTGTGGCTTGCACCTGAGCAGTGAAGTCTGCCAAGGTAATAGACACTTTCTATTGGCTTAAACCCATGTCCAAGTAGTCTTCTCTGGTGAATACGCCACAACAAGAGGCCCAAGAACAAGAGGATGAAACTACTACTGGTGAATCCCTTACTACTCCAAGGCGAAGGTACAAAACAGGGATTTGATGGGGAGGGCCAGGGCTGTGCTCCAAATGATATGACAGACTTTGAAGATCCCCATGGAAGGTCTCACCCTCCCTCGAGAGCAGAAAGGGGATAGGATGGGGATTGGTGGGGCGAACTGGGATTGATATGTATGACAAGTGTTTCAAATTTAAATTAAAAGATTATATTAAAAAAACAGGGATTTGTTTTTGTTTGGTTGGTTGGGTTTTTTTGTGTTTGTTTGTTTGTTTGTTTGAATTTGGGCCTTGGGATTTAGCTCAGTATAGAGCAGTTGCCGAATAAGAAAGGCTCTAGGTTCTGTCTTCAGAAGGGAATGTCAGGAAAGATGGCAACATCTTAAATTTATATTGTCTGTGAGAAGGCTCATCATGGAGAGATCATTGTGGTGGGTAAGTCTGAAGAACTAAGTGAGATAGAGTCCTGGATCTCACTAACACTAACTCTGGCCTTCACAAATCAGCTCTCTCTCTTTCTGTCCCTGCACATACACATTAAATAAATCAATAACAAACTGTGTTCTGTTTTGGCCTTTGGAGACAAGTGCTTAGTGTTAGTAACCCCAAGCTCACTCTACAGACCAGGCTAGCCTAGAAAAAGACTGTCTACCTCTGCCTCCTACATACTGGGATTGCAGGAGTCACCACACTCATTCCACCTTCATCTCCAACGGGATGTTTGAGTCGATAAAGCAAAGCAATGCCTTGCAACAATCTCATCTGTCCCACCGCAAATTTAAACTGGGGAATAAAGACTGTGTAGAGTCTTGTTCTTAGCCCAGTGCCAACAGGGCCAAGCACCTTGATTGAACATACTTACAGATTGAAAACTCTACAAAACACAAAAACAAAACCAAACAAAAAAAACTATTGAGGGAATGCAATGAACATGTGAAGTGGTTCACTGAGAAATCACTGAGAAATTAGCAGCTGTGTGATTGTGTGATTCTGGGGAAATAACTCCATCAAAGATGGGCTCTATTCAGGAGTCTGAGTTCACTCAGTGACACTTTTTTTATAACAGTAACCCAAAGAACTTATCCTATGTCTCTGTATCATGAATAAATAAATGACCCGAGACCGGCATTGGGGTTCAAACTTCAAGATGAATATCAGAAAAGCAAAGCAGCCAGCCACTAGCTCTCAGCTCAAGCTCAGGGTGAAAGGGCTGATCCAGGAGCTCTTCACCAAGTCTCAAACTATAACCTCTCCCCAGTGTGGCTGGAGAATGAAGGCTCCCATCTTCAGTGTGGTGGAGAATGGATGCCTCTGATAACTTGCTTAAGTCTTATATACTTCCCTGATGCTGGGATTAAAGGTGTGAGCTATAATTCTCTTTTAGACTGATTCACTCTTGTATAGATCTGGGTGGTCTTGGGCTCACAAAGATCCATGTTCTCTTAATTCTGAAACCTAGGATTAAAAGTGTGTACCACCACCTCCTAATTTCTGGCTGCCAGGATTAAAGGTGTGTGCCTGGCTTCTATAGCTTGTGGCTGACTGCATTCTGAATCCTCGGGCAAGCTTTAATAAATCATAAACAGAACTTATCCTGTGTCTCAGCAATAAATTAGTATTACAAGTCTAGACCGGCTTTTCTTGTTTCTTTCACTGCAGGATTCTTCATTCTGTTTCCCTGGTTTCCCTGGCAACGGCCATTGGGAAACACTTTGGAAACGCAATTCCACGTTCTGTAACAGAACTCCCTATATTAAACCTCCCTGCACCTCCAGGGTTTCAACTCAGGGGCACGTAGCTCGCAGCAGATTCCCTCTGCACTTCCTGCCTGGGCATCTTCCACCTCTTAAGACCCTAGAGTAACCAGCAGCCCGCCTTGCCTGGACAGTGATCCCAGAGGCGCCTGCGCCTCCGCTGTACGGCAGAGTCCATGCAAAGATGGCCGCGCCCACAAGCAATCTCCGCAGGGCACCGCCATCGAAGCCGCGGGACCCTCTGAAGCGGCGCTCGGGGTGGCCGCCATGTCGGCCTCTGACTCCAACCAGGTCCTGACAAAGCCAGAGGCGCTGGGCCAGAGGAGTGCGGGAACAGCCGACAAGGCCAGGAGTCCGAGGGAGATGGCTGCATCCGAGCCTGCGGACAGCGATGCGGTGAGGGCCCACCGTAAGGGTTTGGGGGCAGTTTGGCGGTCAGTGATTAGAGGGTGATAGGAGTCTGAAGACAAGATTTGAGAATTTGTGGCGTCGATGTTGAGTAGTCTTTTGGGAGGCCGGAGTTCTGAGAGATCTGGGTATTAGGGTATGATGGGCATATAGAGTGTTAGGTATGCGGGTATAATATCCGTGGTTTTAGAGGCATTAGACGAGGATGGCTATAATTTAAAGAAAGCAGTGTTTTGATGCATCAGACTAGACATTGATGCTTGGGGGCGGGGAGACGTCTGTAACTATCACTGAAAGCGATTGAATCTGGGTCTGGAAAGCTAGCAAGATCAGAAATGAGGGTTTTGTGATGTATCTGAGATGGGTAAGTCCTATAAGGATTAGAATTTAGACTGTATGGAAACAGTCATTATAGGTAACTGGGGATAACAGGCTGTGGACTGTGGTGGGGGGGGGGGCACTGTTGAGATTTGGATAGTTGTGCCTTTTGGAATATGTGGGGATCAGAGGTTGGGGCCTTGGGCACGGGGATGGTGGTATTTCTAGAAGTCAAATCAGCAGTGTCTTTCAGAGTTGGTGTTTTGTGTAGTATGATGGGTAGTTGGGAGCCTGGAAGCTAATGGGAGGATGATAATTGGTGTAATCTGAGGAGTCTTATATTGAAGTGCCTATGGGGATGGTAGAGTGCCGTTTGGGGAGAAAAGGTACCAATAGTCCTGACTGTCCCATTAGTGATGGGGTTCTTGGTAGGAATTATTAAGAACTGTTAAAAGTCCTTCATGATTCTGTGACTAGGATCCTGAGGTCAAGAGTTCACAGTGAGGTTGTTAGGCTTCATGATTAGATTCTGTGAGGTCACTGACTGGAGTTCAATGGAGGTCATAGGTTGTTCTGTAAAGAATGGTAATTGGGAACTTCTATATAGGGGAGGCATGTGACGGCTGGTGATTGAGGAATATTTGGATGTCAATGATTGGAAAACTGGAACAGTGTAAGATGAGCACCTATTTTATGCCAGAAAGTGCTCTAAGTAACATCACAAAGTGCCAGCCTGTCTTTAATGTCTTAAATTCTAAAAATGGGAAAGAGACAGCAAGAATGTAAATATAAGTGGAAGTAAGATAGTTTTCAGGCAATAGTAACTGCTGTGAAGGAACTAAGAAAGGACAATGTGGTGAGTCAGTAGTGTGAAAGTTTTCAAGTTAATCTTTGGAAGAAATGACAGTTGATTTGAACACAAATTATGACAGGCTGTGGCTAATGCACAAATCCAAGGGGTGTTTGAAAAAGAAAGAATGCTAATTGCTAAAGCCTCAACATAGGAATTAAGTTCTTGTTATACTGAAAAAAGAAAAATTAATGTGCCTGGAAAACACACACACACACACACACAGAGCACAGAGAGAGAGAGAGAGAGAGAGAGAGAGAGAGAGAGAGAGAGAGAGAGAGAGAGAGAGAGACGTATACAGGAAAAGTAGAAAAACATGAAATCAGTAAGTAATAGAAGGTATTAGCTCATGTAAGATCATATTGGCTAATGCTGGATTTGGATTTTATTCTAATTTCAATGAGCAATCACTGGGTTTAAGCAAGGAAGTGATTTGATCGATATATCAAAAAGATCAAAAAAGATGGTTACTTTATGGAACATGAACTACAGGGCTAAGTAGGAATCAGAAGGTCAGAAGTTGATTTCAATAATCGAAGGCAAGAGATTACGGTGACAATTTGGAGTTACACTGGAAAAATGAAATCACATTCAGAGTACATCTGAATGTGAGCTGATAGGTGAATCAACATGGACATTGGGATGAGATCTAGATCTCTGGCTTTAGGAACTGGAGTGTAGAATTTTTGTATATGCCAGCAGATGGTTCCAATATAACCCAATCCCTAGCAAAATTCTTCAGCACTGAGTCTCTTTGGACCTTTGCTGGAACTTTCCAACACATTTCACATGTGTTGCCAGAACTTGTTTCTTGGGGAAACAAGCATGTTCTATGTGACTGTGCTTGGAAAGGACTCTTGGATGCTGTGTTTCTTTTCATCCTGAATTTACCACTTAATGATTCACTGATTTGCTTTGTGTCCTTTAGCTATAATGAACCATGGCTGTGACTATAGTTACATCTGAATTTTGTCATTCTTCCTATTGAATCACTGAGCCATACAAGGTTAATGTATTAAAAGCTAGTGAATCTGTTAACAGACTCTGAAAGTAGTTAAAAAAATGGCTGAACCATAATCATTTCCATCCATCATAAATCCTAAGGTACATAAGCCATGAAGAAAAATTAAAGGTAGCCTCTGCTTGATATCACTGTAGGGAGCAGGATCCTCGGGAGATGGATGGATTTTATTTAAAGTGAACAGATGAGGAGAATTAGAGCTAGAGTTTTATTATAGAGATTAGGGTTTCTGTAATGGTCACTGTTAAAAAGTTCTATTGGTGTCGGTGATTGGAGATTAATCAGATTAGAGATTTGGGGACTTCTGGTAGATAGAAATCAAATGTGTTTTGTGGGCCCATTATTGAGGAGCCCATGGGGTAAGTGCCTGGGAGGACCTGTCCTTGTCTGGTGATGCAGTTGTTGATGTTGGTCATTTTAGAATTACTGAGGTTGCTTAAAGAGAGCTGTACTGACTCAGAAATTGGGAGGGAGGGCAATGACAGTGTTGGGAGTTATTAAGAATTCAGACTGGCCCAGCAGACTGGCCCAGTGGCACAAACCTTTAGTCCCAGCACTCGGAAAGCAGAGGCAGGTGGATCTCTGTGAGTTCAAGTCCAGCCTGGTCTACAGAGCTAGTTCCAGGACAGGCTCCAAAGCAATGGAGAGAAACCCTGTCTCAAAAAATCAAGTGGGGAGAGGGGGTAATGCAGACTGAAAGCTTGTGAGGTAGAGATTAGTGACATATTAGATTCACATATTGCTTGTCTGTGAGGGTGAGGGGTTATCTTTAAATGCTAAGCAAGCATGTTTAAATGTACATTGTGGTCAATAGTGCATAGTTGAGGTAAAAAAAACAAATTCTGTTATTCAAATCACTCCTGAATGCAGAGAATTAAGATGTACTAGACTGAACAGAAGTATTATAAGAATCAATAACATTCAAAGATGTGTCTGTGGCTTTCACCCAGAAGGAATGGGAGCAGCTGGAAGCTGTGCAGAGGAGCTTATGCAATGATACAATGCTAGAGAGCTGCAGCAATCCAGCCTCAATGGGTAAGGACGATTCCCCATCACTCAGAATGTGTTCACTGCAATCCCTTCTTCTTCAAGTCTTTGGGTTTTTATTTTATTTTATGTTGTTGTTGTTGTTGTTGTTGTTGGTGGTGGTGGTGGTGGTGGTGGTGAGTCAGGGAGTTTCAATTTCTTTTCAGTACTAGGAAGGACACTTGTGCCATTGACTTCAAAAGGGAAGGTCTAGGTACATGAGTATCCCTATTGACCCTGAAGTGCAAACACCAGGCCTCAGTTTCTGAGATGGCTGGTCCAACATTCAGTTTCTACCATTTCTTACAAGTAGGAGATCAAGATCCCAAAGAAGGTATGATCTCTAAGTTAAAAAAAGAAGAGTCATCGTTGGGAGAGGCGAAAACACCCAACCCAAGTAGTGTGAACAAAACAGCACGGCCCAAGAAAGCAGGAGCCAATGCAAGTAAGTTTTTAGTTTCTTGGCACTAAGTTTGGAATTCTTCAAAGAATAATTTGTAATTTTTATTAGGGCTGAGGATACAGCTCAATGTAGACAGTGCTGCTCACATGTGAAAGGACCTAGATTTAAACACCAATATGAAGAAAAAAAAAATTAAGTCCAAGATTTTCTTTTCTTAACCAGGAAATAGTAGAAAAATATCAGAATCTGTCAGGAAAAAAAGAATTGAAACTATGGATATTTCTTTGCTTGGAGACTCTAATATCTCCTCTTCCTGTGAACTTGTCCACATGAGAGGCTCATGACAAGCTCTTGTTTTATGGGGAAGAAAAATTTGGGTGAGTAGAGCCTGTTAATAACCCTAAAATCACTGCTTGGATGTGGTAGCTTTCCACTTGAGCTCCCTTTGGAATGGTCAGAGCAAGCCACTTGGTTCAGAGGGATAGACATGCATCACCTCTCCACAGGAGAGATGCTGCATTTCAAATGCCATGCTACTGGGGGTCCCAGGGTGTGATCTTCCATAAAGAGCAATTGTACAATCTGTCACCATTTTGACTGTGTTACTGGAAAAGTTGAAAATCAGGGCTCGGAGCCTGCAGTAGTTGATTTTTTCACTTAGCCCCTCTCCCTGCCCTCGTGCCCATTGCTTATCTTTCAAAAGGCTCTATAACTCTCCTGCCAATCTCATTCCTGTTTTCCATATTTAAAAACAAATCCTCTCTTTGAATCCTCAATTTTCCTCCTGCCCTTTACCCACACACTAGTTCCCTAATGTATCACAATTTCTCCTGATGAATTCAGACATTCTTAGAGCAGTTTTCTTTCTGCATCTCTGGGAGTGATGCTCCTGCTCCTAATGGCTTTGTTTCTTTCCTTTAACTACAAAACTTCCTGTACCTGTGTTTTGGGGTTTTGTTGTTGTTTGGTGGTTTTGTTTGTTCGTTTTTTTTGTTTGTTTGTTTGTTTGTTTGCTTGTTTTTTTCTAAGACAGGGTTTCTCTGTGTAGCTTTGGAGCCTGACCTGGAACTAGCTCTGTACACCAGGCTGGCCTCCAACTCACAGAGATCCACCTGCCTCTGCCTCCCGAATGCTGGGACTAAAGGCACGCACCACTAACACCTGACTTGTACCTGTGTTTTATAAGACTCAATCATGTCCATTTGTCCCTGTGATGATTTGCATGAGCTGCCCCCATAGTCTCAGGCATTTGAATGCTTGGTCCCCAATTTATGGTGCTGTTTGGGGAGGCTTAGAAGGTGTGGCCTGTTTCCTGCTTGCAGTTCAAAATATGAGCTCTTAGCTTCCTGCTCCATGCCTGTAATAGGTTCTTATCTCTCTGAAACTGACCTATTGCCTTGGTCATGGTGTCTTATCACAGCAATAGGGAAGTAACTAATATGATTGATATAGTCAACATGCTTACCCTCTGGTGCACACCAATAGCTTTGATTAACCTTAAATCCTTGCTTTATCTTTAAATGATCAATTTTACTCACAAGCTTTCCTTATTTTGCTGATGGTCCCCTAAGATCATATCTCCTTATGTTCTGTTCCTCTATTGCATAGCTTTCAAACAGACACCCATTATGTAAATATAGCTGTTTTTCTATGTTGACATCTTCTAAATGTACATCTCCAATGCCTGTATCGTACCTTCTTATTGGAGCTGTTTGTAGGGAAGTCTTTCTTTAGGAGTCAGATAGGGAGGTTCATCTTCGTTAATTAGAGGCACCCTTCATCCTCCCTGTGTTTGTCCTCTGATTTTAGCATGTATTTCATGATCCTCTTATCAAGCCCCATTTGTTTTTTCTTGGTTATCATTGACAAATCAGGTTTATCTTATCCCTGAGTGCAGTTCTCAGGAGGATTTAATGTGTCCACTTTTTAAATCTCATTGTATATGTTACTGATAAACATTACATATTTGCTGGGGCTGGTGAGCTTCATGCTTAAGTTTGTGAAGTTACATTTGACTTCTCTTAAAACTCAGATTCTGTTGCTGTCTCAAATTAGGAAAATGATTTTTCTGGGTAGTAGTGTTATACACCTTTCATCTCAATACTTTCGAGGCAGAGGAGGCAGATCTGTATGAGAAAGAGGCCAGATTGGACTACAAAGTGAATTCCAGTTCATCCAGGGCTACACAAAGATACCCTGTCTTGAAAAATAAAAAGAGGAAGGAAGGAAGGAGAGAAAAAGAAAATGATCTCAGTCTTAACAAATTATTCTATCACACCCAAATCTTCCCAAGTATGATCTCATTACATACCAGGACTGTAATTTGCATTCTTTTCATGGTGAATTTTTTTTTTTCCTGATTCATGTCTTTTGGGGGAGTGGATATCAGTGTGGCAGCTCCATCCATCACTATAAGAAGTGTGTTATGGGGCTAGGGAAATGGCTCAGAAATAATTGAGTTCAGATCCTCAACCCTCATGTAAAAACTGCACCTGGCAGTGCACAGCTGGAATCCTAGCACCAAGGAGCTGAGACAGGGGCCTGAGACTCTCTGGCCAGCATGCCTAGCCAATTGGTGAGCTCCAGGTTCATGGAGAGACCTTGCTACAAAAAAATAAAATGAAGAAAACAAGAATAGATTGATGTCAAACTGGTTTCCACATGCATGGGCACATATATCTTTGTACACATACACAAATGAACATGTATACAAACAGGCACAGTTTGTTTTAGTGTTACATGTCAAGTAGATAGGTGTAAGTCTTGATCACTTTCTTTCACGAAGGATATTTGTTCCTGTATTCCCTATCATCAGTAGGTATTAAAAGCCGTGACCTTGGCATACTACCTGGAGGGTCCTGTTTATCTCTTTATCCCAGGGTTCTGAATCTCTTAAGAGTCCCTGAATGAAAAATCAGCCACCAATTAACTTCTCTGGGATCTCTACTATATCTAACTCCCACCAAACCTATCTCTGCCCCCACCCCTCTCTGGAGATGGGTTTCTGTTGGGTAGCCCTAGCTAGCCTGGAACTCACAGAGATCCACCTGCCTCTGTCCCATGAGTACTGGGATTAAAGTTGTATGCCACCATACTCCACTAGAAAGCAAATCTCTTAAATGCCCTACATAACAGTAAGAATTGCATCCATCAGTGTAGATACCCTTATTTTCTCCATAAAAATTCCTTTATCACTGAGGTGACTTTTCACTCTTACATATGTTTTTCTCTTTAAATGTTTGAGGTTCTTCTGGTGACTTCTTTATTCCATTTCTGTGTAGAGAGTTAGTGGGTGAAATAGTCTTAAAGTGTCAGTGTGGATGGGAGGATAGTCTTAGCGAAGAGGACCAATGTTTTAAGAAAATTCCTCTAAACATAGTTGTGCAATATGTAGGAGAAAGAATGTTAGCAAGTATTTAGGGCTGTAAGTAAACTTAAAATTGATAATTGACTGTTAGAATAATGACGGGAATCAAAGATTCCTTTGAAATATGGGCGGCTGTACACTGTAAACCCAGAATATAAAGTGTTCTCCAAGCTAACCATTAGGAATGTCATGGCTTTGTGAAGGCACTGGGGAATGTAGAGGAACTATGGAGTTGTTGGGATGTCCTTGTTACATTGCTTATGGGTGGGAATGATGGGGCATCCTTCCCTGCTTATTGTCTCCATCATCTACTACTTCCCTAGTTCTCATTGGCAGACATATTCTCTATTTTAGTTTATTTTAACTAGTCTTAATAAATAGAAGGATTTGTTGAAGAGATGTGTATCTCTTACAATCTAAAGGCAGAGACTTTAGCCAGACTCCACTAGGAACAAGAACTGGCAACTTGGAGGTCACAGGAATTGAAATTTTGTACACTATGCTCTTGAGGACAAACAATCCTACATTTCTACTTCTTTCTGTGTGTGAAAGCTTCATTCTTTGTATTGAAGAGCTCTTTATTACATAGGATAAGTGTGGCTTTCATAGTACTTGCATTATGTCATCTTAAATTTAATCACAAGGGGAAGACTAGTAATGCCTTGCTATGTAGCCCAGGCTGACAGAAAACTTGTGAAAATCCTCCTGAGTATTGGGATTAGTAGGCATGACATATTTTAACTTAATGAATTCCTTGTTCAGTGCTCCTATGTCTAGTCCACCTTCTATCCCAGGTTACAAGATCCTATTTCTTTTGTTGTTATTGTTGTTGTTTTGTTATTTTTTGGGGGGCCGGGTTTCTCTGTGTAATAACCCTGTCCTGGAACTCACTCTATATACCAGGCTGGCCCCAACTCACATTGATTGACCTGCCTCTGCCTTCCAAGTTCAAGGATTAAAGGTGTGTGCCACCACCACCCGGATAATCTTTTCCTAATGAATACTATCAGTTTACTTTCCCCTGGTTTTACTGCTACTTCCTCCCTCTCAAGCAGATAGGGACATTCATTCTTGATGCTTATTTCACATTGGCATCTTATACTTGAGTAAGTATTCAACCCCTAAAAGGCATCTCTTTATGAAACTTAAAAGAATGTCAGTGGGAGTGCAAAAATTTACAAGAATGTCTCATTAAATTCTATTTTAGAAGTTCAACAAGATGATGAGAAGATAGAGGAAAAGCAGAAATCTCAAGGCAAACGCATTAAGGAAACTACATTTGAGAAGGAAAGTTCAGCCAGCAACAAAAGCAGTGAGTGTGGTTTGTTGGAAGAAAAAACGGTCAGTACAAAACATTTTCCTTCAAAAAAGAAGCTTCTGAAATCCGATTCACATGCAAAGAACTTGAAGCAGAATTTAGACTTTACTGGTGAGATTAAAAACTTCACAAAAAAGAAACCTGATTCAGCGAAAGAATATAGGAAATCATTGAGCCATACCATATCTGATACAAAGAAAGACATTCTAGCTAGAAAGAAATGTGAGAAAATACCCAACAAAAACTCACATGGTAAAAGTGACAAATATCAAACTGGCAAGAGATACGAGAAAGTGTACCATCAAAACTCATCCCATGCTAAAGAAGACAAAAGCTGGTCTGGACAGAAACAGAAATCATCTAGCCGTAGTTCATCTACTAAGCCTGACAAATCTCCAGCTTCTGGAAAACCCTATGAATGCAATCAGTGTGGGAAGGTCCTCAGCCATAAACAAGGACTCATTGACCATCAAAGAACTCATACCGGGGAGAAACCATATGAATGTAATGAGTGTGGGATAGCTTTTAGCCAGAAGTCCCACCTTGTCGTACATCAGAGAACTCACACCGGAGAAAAACCATATGAGTGTGCCCAGTGTGGCAAAGCTCATGGTCATAAACACGCCCTCACTGACCATCTAAGAATTCATACTGGAGAAAAGCCCTATGAATGTAATGAGTGTGGGAAGACCTTTAGACACAGCTCAAACCTTATGCAACATGTAAGATCTCACACAGGCGAAAAGCCTTATGAGTGTAAGGAATGTGGCAAATCCTTTAGGTATAATTCATCTCTTACTGAACATGTGAGAACGCACACAGGTGAAATACCATATGAGTGTAATGAATGTGGCAAAGCTTTCAAGTACAGTTCATCCCTGACTAAACACATGCGAATTCATACTGGTGAGAAACCATTTGAATGTACTGAATGTGGGAAGACTTTTAGCAAAAAGTCACACCTGGTTATACATCAAAGGACTCATACAAAGGAGAAACCTTATAAATGTGATGAGTGTGGGAAAGCCTTTGGACACAGTTCATCTCTCACTTACCATATGAGGACTCACACAGGCGACTGTCCCTTTGAATGCAATCAATGTGGGAAAGCCTTCAAGCAAATCGAAGGCCTGACCCAACACCAGAGAGTTCACACCGGGGAGAAACCCTATGAATGTGCTGAGTGTGGGAAAGCCTTTAGTCAAAAGTCACACCTCATTGTCCATCAGAGAACTCACACCGGGGAGAAACCCTTTGAATGTTATGAATGCGGGAAAGCCTTCAGTGCAAAATCACAACTTGTTATACATCAGAGATCCCACACTGGAGAGAAACCCTATGAGTGTAACGAATGTGGCAAAGCCTTCAAGCAGAATGCCTCTCTTACCAAACATATGAAAGTTCACTCCGAAGAGCAGTCTCATGGGGAAAATTAATGTAGGAAATCTCACAACCAACTGCTTTGGTCTTGTTTAACTTTAAAAGATGTTCTCGACTTGATGAAGTTAGAAAATCTTTTTAGGAAACCATTCCTTATATATGAGAGAATTTGAATATGGATCTTTACATAAGAGTGATGGATGGTAATAAAACTTAAGCCTGATCCTAAACCTTTACAAAAATACTGTATTTTACAGTTGTTATAAATTATCTCCACATTTAGAACAAAATGTGAAACTTTAAAAGTTGTGGATAAGGACCTGGGGAGATAGCTAAATCAGTAAAATTCTTCCTAAGCAAGTGTAAGGACCTGAATTCCATCCATAAGATCCATGTAAAAAGCTAGATGTGGTGGGGAAGTTGAGACAGGAGAGTCCCTGAGACTAGCTGACCAGCTGCACTAGCCTAATCTGCAAGCCCTGTGTCACAGGGAGAAACTCTTTTAAAACAAGGCACAGGGCTCCAGAGGAACAATACTCAAGGTTGACATTTGGCCTGCACATGTGCACCCACACACATGACAACACACACACACACACACACACACACACACACACACACACACACACACACTGTGGGATAATATTATTACAGCAACAAATGAACAATAAAATCTGCCAACAATTCATTAAGCATTTGGGTGTTGTGTACTTGAGCAAAACAGTCAATATTTAATCTGTGTTTATGCTTATTGCATACTTACTGCCTTGTGTAAAAGAGTAGTCATCCCCTATGGTATTGTCCTGTTTTCTTTGTTAGTGTTTGTGTTAGCTCTAAATCAGTAGAAAACTTTCTGGGTTTTTGAGACAGCATCTCACTGTGTAGCCCTGGCTAGCCAGGAACTTGCTATGTAGACCAGAATGGCCTTGAACTAACAGAGATGTGCCCATCTCTGCCTCCCAAGTGCTGTGAATTAAAGGATCAAATAGAAAATTTTAAGGGGTTTTGTCTAGATGTTCTTAAGAAAAACTGAAAAAAAAATGTGCTGGTAGAGGATGATACTCAAGTTAGATTGTGAAATATAGAAAGAAAAGTGGATTGTTGGACACTGTATATAGTATGTTGTCATTGTGAACAGAGTGTGTGTGTTTGCCTGTCTTTTTCTGCCTCTCTGTGTACATACTCATATATTTGTATATGAATAGACTTGTGTTTTTTTAATCTAGAGGAAATTTTAGTGTTTAGCACTGAACCCAGAAGTACAGGATCAAGGTCTGGCATTCTTATCATGTACATGTGTCTTATTGAAATATATATTAAAATACTTTTATATGCACAAATGAACACAGTTTATAAATACAGCTGAGTCTCTCCAACAGTATTGTTTGACAAAGTAACATGAGATTTTTATGCCCATTTATGTACAATGAATTTGAGGTATATGGCACTAAACCTTGATATTGAATTTGCAAAGATTTTCCTATTAAACAAAGATTTTGTTAACATAATGATTCACAACTGTAACAATACTTTATTTATCTTTGTTGCTACTAAACTGGAGATGAATTCTGTTTGCAGATAAATGAAAGTGGTATTTGGAACCATCATCCCATTTTATTTCATATTCAGACAAATGCCTTAATCAGGGATTTCAACTGTATTGCAACAAATGTCTCCATACCCTCTTCTTGCCCAGTGAGGAAATATTGTTTCTGGTTTACATACTCTACTTCTCCCAGGGTCTGCTTCATAATGCTTGTCAAGCATGCATTCCAGAAGGTGCTGTGCATCAGACTGACTTTTTCAAGAGACCTGTCTGGCCTTGTGTGCTCCACTAGCTAGGGTCTACTGCTGAGATCAAACACCAGGATTAAAAGCAACATGGGGATAAAGGTTTTAGTTCATCTTACAGCTCATAGTCCAACATCCGGGAAAGTAGGGCAGGAACTGAAGACAGGGACCCACAGGCGATAACTGAGGCAGAGGCCATGGGGTAGTACTGCTTACTGGCTTGCTTCTCATAGCTTGCTCAGCCTGCTCTATTATACATAGGACCACCAGCCCAGGGTCACACATTCCACAGTGAACTGGGAACTGTCACATCAATCAAGAAAATGCAGCTCAGGCTTTCTCGTGGGCCTTTCTAATTGGTGCATTTTCTCAACTGATGTTCCCTCACACACTCACAATCCTAGCACTTAGGGAGCTGAATCAAGAGGATCACGACATTGCAGCAAGCTGAAAAAAATCCAGACCCCCTCTCACTCCGTTCTCCCCAAAGAAAATATTTGACTGTATGTTAACGTTTATATTCTAACAGCATATTCACTAAGTCCTATGTCAAAAGAGTCATGTCCCAGTCATTAGAACTTGTCTAGTCCTATTCAATTCTCAGTGAAAATTTTATCTGCACAGTAGTGTAGCTTAATAATAGCCCCCATACAAATGGGTGACTGAACGCTCTCTGCCCATCCTTCATTCTTGTTATTGCCTTCCTAACTCCCTCATTTCAGAAAACAATATAAATATGAACAAAACAAATTGTGTGTGTGTGTGTGTGCATGTACATGTTTGTGTTAGAAGATCATCTCAAGGATATTGTGCCCCTATTTCCAAATAACTGACTCACTCTTGGGTGAAGAAAATGCAATGTGAATTTTGTTTGCATTGGTTAATTTCTTTTCTTACCAAATGGAAGTCTAGCACTATGCACGGAACTAGAAATGCCTTCATCTTTTAGAAGAATAAAGCAGTTGTAGGTTATGCCTCTGCTTTTATTTTATGTCTTTTTGAAGAATCTTCAATTGTGCCATACAAAAGATAATCATAAATTTGGGGATACCTGAACAGTAGACATTAGTACTTAGATTTTTATGTAGTAAATATTATCATTGGTGAATTTTAGAATGTCTGAAAGAACTAGATGTCAGGGCCGAGGGGTGGTTACAGAGCAATGGGGCTCAATGAGGATCTGAGTCTGGATCCCCAGCAGCTACATGAAAGCCAGAAAGATGGGCATGTGTCTGTAAACAAGTATGGGAGTGCAGTGGCATGTTGTCCAGTCATCTCCAGGTTCAATGAGAGACACTGTATCAAACACATGCAGTTGAGAACCAGAGGAAAACACCTGACATCACCATTTGGCCTGCACTAACCTATGTATGGGCAAGTGCATCTACACACATACACACACACACACACACACACACACACACACACACACACACACACAATATGAGCAGTGAAAAAAGTCTCAACCAAGAATATACAAACTTTGTTCATCACAATTGCCTGAAGGATTTAGTAGGACACTAACTTTTTAAGTACAAATTCTAGGGCCCCACCACAGATTAATGCAGAAATTCCAGAACTTACTTTTCATTTTCCTGTGGCAGGTGATTTGCATCCTGTTCATGAGCCTAACACATGTACATTCCAGCCTGGGGCCACGTCTCTTGTGACACAGAGGGTATGGTCAGGTGTGTCCTGGAGCTCTGGACCTGGGTTCTCCCTAGACACTGTCATTCTGAAGCATCCATGATGGGAGGCCAAACTGCAGCTCCCATTCATCTTCAGTTTATACTCACACCAAGGCCAGCTCCTCCATCAGAGAACTCCACATTTCTGTCCCTACAGTTCATTGTCAGAATTCTTATGTAACTGCAGATATGAGCTGAAGGGGGTCCTGATGCATGAGACCATTGCACACTGTGCTTGCTTATATCTTTGTTGTGTAACAGTGTTCTCCAAACTTCCATTTAGTGTTCTAAAGAACAGACTCCGGGACTCCTAAAGAAGAGCTCTTTAAAGCTTAGGATGTAGGGCACGGAGAGGTGGCTCTGTGCTAAAGAGCACAGGATTCTCTTCCAGAGGACCTGGATTTAATTCCAAGAACTCACGTGGCAGGGTACAACTGCAACTCTTATTCCAGGGGATCCAATGGCCTCCTCTGGCCTCCATGGGAACCAGACACAGATGGTGCACAGATATAAATGCAGACAAAACACCCATTGTTTGGGATATTCAACCACACTGTGAACCCTGAGTTAGCATGTGCAATAATTACATAAATTTAACCCTGGGTCAGGAGGCTGAGTTAGCACCTGGTCGATCATCAGGGGGCATCTGGGAGAGATAGAGAGATGCCCACAAGTAGTAGGGAGGGATTTTGAGTGGTGTGGCTTTGTTTGTGTGTTTGTTTTTGTTGAGCAGAAGGATGGGCTTTTGGGGAGACACAAGCAGAGGAGAATGTTAAGTTAGTTGCTATTCAACCTTTCTAAGCTAGCAGGTGTCCAAACAGCCTTTGAATCTTGAATCTTATTTATAAATAGAACAATAGAAATTTAGTTAAAGCTACCTTTAGCAGCAACAAGAGCCAGGGCCTGTGGGAACAGAATTCCAACCAGGCTGCAGCCTGAACAGCCAGGCCACTGCCAGAGAAGCAGGCTGGTAACTTCAGAGTCATAATTTCTGCCTGAAATAGCAGTTGATTAGGGCACAGCCACTGTGCAAAGGAGAAAACCCACACACACACAAATAGTTTTGTTTTTTTTTTTAAAGCTGCATGATTTATTTTGCTTTCTGACTCTGTGCTTGTGCCTTCAACACTTTCACAACAATTTTCTGCTCCTCAATAAGAAAAGCCTGCTTGATCCTGTCACAGACACACTTGGCGCACATGGAACCGCCGTAGGCCCTGCTGACGTGCTTCTTTGTCTTAGACAGTCTCATGAGGACTTTCGGTCTGACAGCACAAACCCCTCGAATCTGCCTGGGCACACACTGCATGCAGATTTAGGTGCTTTCCCAACCTTCTTGGTATAAAGGTAAACAATCCTGTTGCCAAGGGTTCGAGACAGCCTAGTTTTGTGAGAGGCTCTATTGTAGGAAAGCCTACTCCGGTATGTCAAACGCTGGACCATTTTGAGCACCTGTAAGCACCGTCCCCGGAAGAGGAAAAGGAAGGCACAAAAATAGTTTTTTAAAAAAGATTTAGGATGCAAACAACTCACAAGTCTCAGGAAATCCTTGAAACAAGATATACAAGCCTCCACCCTCCCCACGGTTATAAAAGCAGCAATGACTGCTGAGGTAACAGAACTCTCTCACCTGTTGGTGACTGCAGCTTGAGCTCCACGAATCTGTGACCCATCCTGTGCTGGGCTTTCACTAAAGAGCTGCCTTCAGATCATCCATGCTCTTGTAGGTAACCTCTTACCCACACATGGGTAAGGACCCCAAAGAAACCGGTTGGCTTCCCAACTGGACTTTGGTGGCATCGTTATCTTGGTGGGTCATTGGTTCTTTAGGTGGGGTGTGAATATAAACAAAGGAAGCTTTCATGGGGCATGGTCTCCTGCCTCATCTGTGCTTCCTACCCCAGGTTACTTACCATTTTGTACTCACCTTGGTTAAATAAAAACCATAACTCCATCCCCAAATACCCATTCTCTTCGAGGTTCCATCTTTTCTCCTGTGTTCTCCCCAGACATATTTTTGGAAGCTCTCACATTCTAGTTTGCATCTTCCTACACATAAGAATCTCTTCTGTCTGCTTACAGCCTGCTTGAAAAATGGGGCTACCTACCAAGCCCACTTTCCATTCAGAGTTGTGGAACAATCTTTTAGTGCATTGAGAAAATGTGTCTCTTACTAAGGCACCTTGTGATTGTTTATTAAAGAGCTGACTGGTCAATAGCTGGGCAGGTGAGACATTCAGGACTTCTGGGGAGAGAGGGGAACTTGGAAAGAATCTGAGGCATGAGGGATTTTCCAGTCAGACTCAGAGGCACCGGGTATACAGAGAAGAGAAGTAAACAGCCATGTGGCAGAAAGCAGATTCATATAAAGGAGTTAATAAAAGCTACTTGGGAGCAAGCCTAAGCTAATTATAATTAATAACAAGTCTCTGTGTCAGTTTGTAGTGGAGAGGATCTGGCAAGCCAACAAAATTCTGACAAGAATGAAATGCTTCATTTGTTGCACAGGAAGCCATGGATATTCACAGAAGGCCTAAGAAAGCCTGACATGGACTCAGCATGCTTCTTAGTAACCACCATCACTCAAGTAGGTCCAGTGCTTATGATGTACAGAGGTGTGGTTCCTTTAAGAGGCCAGCACTTATGAGGTTGTACACTTGAGCAGTCAGCATACAGATAGCTGCCATGAGGAGGACACAACAAATTCCCAGAGTTGGGAAGCCAGCAACCAGTGCCATGAGTTAGGCTGAGCTAATGAGCAGAGGGCCTAGCAGCTTAAGGGTTGGCTCACACAGAGAAGGCTACAGATGAGTAGAAAGTCAGGTATAGACCAAGAAAAGCTATGAACAGGTATAATATGCTTGAAAATATGCCTAGATGGTGAAGAAAGAAAAGAAAATGACTATGGGCAGTCATTGAAAAAAAATAGTTTAAAAATCATAAAATAAAATCTTTAAAGAAGGAGTAAAGTAATATTAAAAA